AAAGAGTGGCAGCAGCGATCCTCAGGCGGCGCTTCGGTTTTCTTTGGATTCGAGCCTGGATGTTGTCTCCTACAATATCTCTGAGCACCCTGAAGACAAGATAATTGCTGTTAAGAACAACAGGCGCAGTTTTAACCATTTCTGCTGCGAGGCTCTGCCAACGGCCGACATTGGAGCTTGAAGTTTGGTTTTGGGGGATTTGTTTTTTTTTTTTGTTTTCTTTTGTTTTCTTTTGTTTTTTTATTCAAGGGGCCTGGTTCTGGAGGGTGATGACAAATGTTTTCACCCCTGCGCGGTATCTCTATCAGTAAGCCTCTTGGTTGGAAGTGAAATGAGATCTGCTCCAACTCTGTGCCAGGAAGACAAGGCTATTTTGTGAAGGAAGTCGACAGAAAATAGAGAGCAGGCCCAAAAACTATGCATATATATATATATATATATATATATAAAGATATTTGAGAAATGCCAGAGTATGCTACATGTCAGCCCTCGGCCAAAGACTTCAGATGATGTTTGTTTTCATAAATCTTTTCAACAACTTTTTCTTTTTCAGATATTCACTCTGCTTTTCTTTTTTTTTTTGTCAGTACATATCCAGAGCGCATGACTCCACCCATACTTTACAATCCCCTAAATTTCTTATTTAAAAAATAGAAAAATCTATATATTTTTTTATTAATTCTGACCTGGATCTAATTATACACACAGCTAAAAACCCTATACGGTGGATGTGCCACATCCATTTCCATATTCTGCAGTAGTTTGAAAGAAAAAGGAGACAAAACACTAAAACCTCACATCTTCCTGGACCCACAACCTAACTTTCAACCAACGCTCACTAAAGTCTGTTACCAGGTTGTTTGATAGTGCTGCTGTTGAAGCAGTCTGATTGTAGCTCCTCTGCCTCCACAGTTCCACAGGGTGCTGCAGGTTCCAGGGCTGCCTGCAGACTCCAATCAGTTAAACAAGGGAGAGAAAAACTGCACTTGGTGGAAAATAATTGGAGTTGAATTGAGTTTGGCCAGGTTGTCGGGGAGTTGAAGTGTTCTTACAGCTTCTTATGAGAGAGTACATCTAAATGGAGAGAGTGACTAGTGTCGAGCAGCCATGGTGCAGAGAGACAACTCAGGGCTTCTAATGAGCTCTGCTCTTTTACTGCCAGGCTAATGGAAACCTCAGGAGACCTCAGTCACACTCTCTCTCTCTCTCTCTTTCTGTGTGTGTGTGTGTGTGTGTGTGTGTGTGTCCTCCTCTCTCCCAGAGGCAGGCACACTCTCCAGCACCCTAATGGCTGCCTCTGGGACTTAATACCTGCGAAGGCTTTACAGGTTTACCGTCATCACTTTCTCCTCTTCCTCCCACTTTCCCCTCAAGTACATTTTCTTGTTCCTTTTATTTTGGAGAGTGGTGAGCGAGTTTCCCTTTAACAAGAGTAACAGCGAATGATTAAGAAAACCATAATTTGAGCGTTTTGTTTTCTCCCAGCCTCTGGGGGAAGCGCTTTAATGCGCTGAAGAGTGTTTATTTAGCAGCGATGAATGACCATTAAACTCTGGAGGGAGGATGTCTGGTTTTGTTCTGACGTGTGTAACAACATCCAAATTATCACCTTGTTAAAAAAAAAAAAAAAAGGGCCTAATTCACACGTTGCACAGAGGGATTGTTTGTACACAGCTCCCTCCATCCTACGCTTCATTAGACTCCTCCATAAGTATTTCATTGTGGTCGACCTCGAGTTGTGTCGACTTCCTCCTCAGGGAGGAGGAGAGCGTGAAAGACGAACTGTAACAGCAGTCACATGAGTCTTCTCCCGGAGTGAATGAGCACTTAACAATAAAGTCCACACTTTCTGAAATGAAAGCGCGTGCCCGTGTTTTTCTGTTTGTGTGAATCTTTGACAGCAAGTTCCTGTCAAGCTCTGTGGCTTTTATCCTCAGCTCCAGCGGGAGGTTCCTGTCTGTGGCAGCCATATTGTCTTCGCTGGTGTGGGTTAGTGTTCACTGGACACCATCAGGGGGAGTAAGAGGGGGTGTGTGGCGGGGGGGTGGGGTGGTTGGGGGGAGGCAAGCCGCCACAGTGCAGCACTGCGCAGCCACTCCCCTATTCACAGGTCTCCCCTTTCACAATTAACCGGTCGTAATTTGGGGATGAAAGCCGCCTTTTCACTGTTCCTCCACCCCCCGGTTACTCTCTATTCTCAGATGGGCCATGCCAGCTTAGGCAGCAGGGAGAGAGAGGGCCTCCGTCCCCTCTACGCTGACCAAAGGCTTCTCTGGGAGAGGGCCACTCGTGGTCAGCGAGGCCTGCAGCGAGCCCCGCCCAGGATTGGACGCACCGAGCGTGACATGTGACACTATTCTTACACACCAGCGAGCGTGAGTGCACAGCTGGAGAATGGAGAGAAAAGCGGTTCATAAGGGAGGGATTTTGAGGATGATGTTTTGGGGGAGGAACTGCGAGGGGGAGGAAGTTTAGCCAACACAGAGGCACAGTTTCAAACTGCTTGTTTTTATGTTGGCCGATACAGCTGAGGATTTAAGCAGAGGATGTGAACCTGCTGTCAGCTGTACGGTTGGCTGGCCGGGCGCTCAGTCTCTGAGGAGCCGTGGAGTTCCAGGAATCAGGAAACAATCAGAGCGCCAAAGTATCTAATCATCTGAATTCAACGTCGTCCTCTCCAGAATTTTAACTGAGTTAGAGCCACTTAAAGTTTCAGAGCTTTGAAATCTGTCAAATGCAGAGTTTTAAAGCTAAAATCATTAACATAAATCAGACCTAAAAAAAACTCTCCTGTCACACTATTGTTTCCAGCTATAAAATCCCCAGTGGGGCTTGTAGCTTCCAGCAGCTTTCTGTAGCTCCGCAGATGGTCAACACACAGAACCTGTCAGCAAGCAGACGTGGGCCTGACCCCAGCCAGAGGCCCTTAACCCATCTCTCCACATTACCTCCAATAAGGCCTGACCGATCAATACTAACGCTCCCAGAGGAGCCAGACCATGGCGACATTTGTGTAGGCTGTCTGAGTGTGTCAGTCTTTTGTGACGGGAGATGAAAATTATTTGTGACTTCACAGCTGAGCCCGTCACAACCGTACAGTGAATATGAATAACACTTATCTGCAGCCACTGGCTCAGTGTGCTGCAAACATCAGCACCAGCAGACGTCTTGTTGGTCTGATGCCTTTCACTGGCGCCCTGTAGTACCAGGTGGCCTCTTCTGCCATTGAGAGGAAGGAAGGAGGGCGAGGTCAGCGGCAGCAGAGAGTGGATGGGTCACCTACGTGGAAATAGGAGCACCCCTGCGGTGAGCAGATAAAAGGACGTGCACCCATCCAGAACTGTCCCTGACATGGACAGGAGCCGCAGTCCAGACTCTGGCTCGAGAACAACCAGTGAGGGAGGGGCGGGTGCGTGATGGGTAGGGTGGGGGGCGGACTAGCCCTTTAGATAACGGCTTCTCAAACGGCACAGACTTCCACAAGCACCTCAAGTCTAATTGTGGAACATGTGTTTTTGGTTTTTTTTTAAGCGCCTCCTTTTCAAAAAAGCGCCACTTCTCCTTTTGTTGTGTGCAGACTCACAAACTAGACACACAAAAATTCACAACTAGAAACAAACATTTAACCTTAAAAACATCCTTGTAAAAAGATCAACAAATGACTGGCAATCCCTGATAACTTCACAGTAGTCCAACCATAACACCATCATAATATAACATAACACTCATAGCATCGTACGGCCTTAAACTCTATTACTCTGCTGTCTCCAACATGTTCCTGAGCTTCTTGTTTAATTCTGAAGCCGCTCCGAGGGAGGAGCCAACAGCGTCAACAGTGCCTGGGCCCCGACAGCGAGCTAAGACCAGAGCCCGCGACACGACAGCAAAACCACAGTACAGTAATTATATATCAAAGCCCCTTCATAGCCAATAGGGCTAAATGGAATATGAAGAGAGCGGCATGCACCACAGACTGACAGGACGAGATGAGAGCTGCAGTCAACAAGAGTTAGGAGTAAATAAAATGCTCAAGAAGAACTGGAGCGATGTGGGAAGAGAGCGAAACTTTTCAACTGGCTGCAGCTTTTTCCAAAGTGATGTGATCATTTCAAACACACTGTAAATAAATAGTTAAATATATACTAAGATTGACAAGCTTATACACAGCTAAGAACAAGGTAATTGTGTTTTTCAAAGAAGTCAAATTAGTGCACATTTGACTTGTTTTCTTGCACTTTTTTGGTGATTTTACAACTTCATGTTTTAATAGTGTCTTTTCTGCCTTTCTTTCCTGTTTCTCTTTGTAAAACACTCTGTATCTTGAATGTGTTTGCTACATAACTTTTGTTGCCACAAGTTAGATGGCAGTAGATAAAAAAAATATATATAAAACAGACTTTGGTTGTTGCTTCACATGACCCTGAGCTCCATTATATACTGTGCATTGGTTACTTATCTTTTTTTTAGGAATTAACTCATTCTATTTGCCATTAATACATGTGCTCAAGATAAGTAGTTTTTTTTTTTCTTTTGACTTATCACAGTCAGATAACACCAGTCGCACTGTCACTACACCAGCAAACAGGTGCAAATAGAAATTGGGAAACAATGAACTGAATGTTCCTGTTTACATTCAGTCACACTGGCCTGTTGAGCTGTGACTCTCTTTCTATATGTGTATGTGTGTGTGTGCGTGCGTGTGTGTGTGTGTGTGTGTGTTCCTTGGGGCCGGTTCATGCATGACCTCACAGTGAAAATGTGTACCTCCTGATACAAGGACCCCTCGGTCAAAAGCGTGAATCATGTGTTTGTCTTTGGCACAAATGAAAACTGTCAAAGTACATCACAAATCCACAATAAGACTTGTTATCACCACCATTCATTTTGAAACCTCTCTCTCTCTCTGTCTCTCTCTCTCTCTCTCTCTCTCCGAGTCTTTTCTCTATGGCTGCATGTACTTGGTGGAATTCCAACTCTAAATGTGTGTCCACTGGGAGAGGCGAAGATGGTGCAAGCTAGCTACAATATTGGATGGCAGGGAGATTGTGCAAACGAACAAACAAGAGAGAGGTGAGTTGCTCAACTCGCACACATAACTGTCTATAACCGCCTCCGTAAATGACCCTGACTGGCGATCCGATCTTATTCCCACGGAATATATTTCAATGCCATGCAATTTCTGCCTATCTAGAACATTCCAGCGTTGCCTCCCCAACTTATCTGCTCCTGATGGGAAACTCTGGAGGATCAGCGATGAATGAAGTATGATTTCCTTTCTCTGTTCATCCTCACTTGAGAAAAAGAAGCACTAAAAACTTTTCTTTTTTTTTTCCTTCCACTACAGGGACTGCTGCTTACACCAGCTGTTTTACTCGGACATACATTTCTTACAGCAGCTCTTCACACTGTGGCTGTTCAAAAACCAAGTCTGAGTGCACTTCTATAAGAGTTCATGGATTTTTTTTTTTTTTTTGCATAGATATCCTGACAAAAATATACATTTTTAGTGTAGGGTGAAAACTTAAACTCTGCCATTGTTCTATGTCGTTCTGTAGTTGTAAGGTCATTTTTTGGCACCGGCAGGACAGAAAATATGACTAAACTGGATTTCAGCTTCAGACAGTATTCTGTATACGCCTCAATTGTATCTCGACAGAAAACCTTGAGTCATGGCTTCTTTACATGGCTGAAAAAGTATTAAATTTCATGGCCTAAAAACTAGCAGACAGCACTTTTCCACAATTCCCCCGTCCAGTCCAGAGCAGTTGGAAACAGTGTTGGTGGAAGTCGGGTTAAATAACAGCTTTGCTACAAACTCAGAGCTGAAGGTCCTGCAGTAAATCTGAGTTTCTATCAAAGCAGGCACATAAAACTCTGCACAAATCAAGGAGCTGTGTCTTTATTTTGAATGCTGCCAAGACTTGGCTTCTCCATGTTGAACATTGTTGGGGCCCTCTTCCCCCTCTTGCATACTTAACGTGCAGAAGAAGAGAATGGGCCAAAATCCGTTAATTCCTGACACATTTTTCAAATGAATTGTCAGGAAAATTTTCCCTTTTCAAACTTCAGATTTAACTTTGCAAAAATTTCCACATTAACCACACTACAAGCCCAAGACTTGACGTTTTAAAGTTTGATATAATGGACAGTAATTAGCAGCTTTTTAGTGGGATTCCAGCAGCCAATCGATAAATTGATTGGCAATTTATTAGACATTAACTAGCCCTGGTTATTTGTGGATAACAATAAAGAAACATCAATCAGCATTGATATAATTCAGATACAATTATCACTAAAAACTAACTAAAAAAAGCAAGTGAGAGATTTTCAAAATAAAATAACGCAGTCAGGTTTTGGTTTTATTTTATAACAGATTGTGGGTGTTGTGACCTGCAGTCATTAAGTCCTTCTGCTCGTTAAATTAACACTTTGTGGTGTAAATGACAAGGATAATGTTAGTTTGTCGACCTCTGAGGATGTTAAACGGTTTTGTTGCGGGTTTTGTTCTGAGGAGGATCCTGACTTTGTCTTGCAGATCTCCCCCCTTTTCTCTGCAGCGCAGGCTATTAGGCCTGCAGAGCCCATTGACATAATAATGGTCCAAACGCCTTCTAACCTCTCAGGTCTGTTAACAATAATATCTTAAATATTCTACTATAATATTCTCTATTTGTTTAATTCTTAAAGACGTTTTGGGAATTTTTTAGATTTGGATCTTATCGCTCTGTGATCAGTCAGATTTGTGAATATTGTGCCATCCACATTAAGCCTCATATCACAATTCTTTGAAGTTAAGTATAAAGACACTGCTGGTTTTCGTCACACTACGTGTAACAGTAGGTGCCTGAGCTGAAATCAGCACAGCTTGACTCTAAAGCAAAAACCTGCTCATAATAAATGAAATGTAATTTATAAAAACATAAATACTCGTGGTAAAACATAAAAAAAAAATCTGAATTCAAATTTAACTTGACGGAAAACCCTGAGGACACATCACCACTGCGAAGCTGCAGTGTTGCTCTGTGTCCAATAGAGATCACTGCACGTCGCAGAAACACGCCAGCCTGACTGATCGCCAAACAGCTTCACTGTGACACAAGTCTATACTTTTTTTTTTTTAATTAAACACATGATAAAATCAGTCTGCAATCAAACCTAAAAAATTAACACATTTAATTAAGAAGGCTGGGTCTGTTCGAGCCAACGGCCTGAGGCGTAAAAGGACGTAAAGCAAAAGCAGAGGTCACAACCAAACTGTCTTCACTGGGTTTATCAGGATCCGTTTGGAATAAACTCCAAACTTACTGGATAAAGACTATAATGAAAAAAAATGTATATATATATATATATATTTAAAAACGAGTGTAAACCAATCAGGAGTCAATGCGCTTGTTGGGTTGCATCTAACGGTGTTAATATTACTGAGGGAATGAATAAAGAAACCTGCTAAATCCTATGT